TGCTGGGGATGAAGTCGCGGATACATTGATCATAATTTCCCAAATCAGTGAACGTGCCATCAGTTAAACCATTGAATACCAGTTTTGCCGATGAGTCCAATACTAAATTGTATGTAAAGTTTGAATTTAATTTATAAAATTTAGTTAACAAGTAATTAATTATAGTTTTCAGTTTTTACTTTTTGTTAATTTATTTAAAATTAGTATTATATAAAAATGTGTCATAAATGTCATCTCAAGTGATGTATCATTTCAGTCATGACATCATCTTTTTAATTAATGTTTTTGTTTCCAATGGTTAAATAATTTGAAAGTGAAATCTTTGATGAGATGTCATGTTATTGATGTTATATTTCTCACGAGTTGTTATATAATGAATAGTTTTCAGATAAAATACTATTGTGATTCACAATTAATTACAAGTGGATTGTTTGCGATATAATTGGGAAAATAAGTTATTTTAACAATTAATTAACAATTAATGTATAGACTGGAGACTATTATACTGCAATAGTAATCTAAATGTATTTATAGTTATTATCCTATTGAGTTTCATTAGCTGAACTGTAATTTCATTCAAAAAGCATAATTATATAAAAACATTTCAATAATAATAAGAAATAATATAAAATTAAAGGAAATATTGCATTAAAAAAATATATTTATTTCAATGTAAGGACTTTGTATTCAAAGTAAGGAAAAAACGAAAGAATTGAATAAAAATACTATTTTTAAAGAAAAATTTTAATAACTATTGGCAATCATTTCACGTTTTATTTCTATTTAGTTTCCCTAAAAATGCTATAAACTGGTTGAGCGGAGCACTGGGAGTATAGGTGGTATAGATAATGGGAGAGAATATTGTAAAATCAAAACATCTTATTCAACACAATTTCGATGAACTAATGTTTATTTGCTTATCACTAAAAATCATTAGTCGTGTCAAAAGATAAAACACTTGAGACTATAAGAAAATAGTATTTATTGAAAAGTTTTAAATATAGATTGTTAGCAAACATCTAGTGTTGTGTGTGAATGGTTTGTTGAACACAAAAACCACTTTTTTTGCTTATTATCAAAATTGTATAATGAATTCATATGTAAACCAAAACCGGAGTTCACATGAATTGCAAATTTGATTTACGCCAAAGATATTTAACACACATAATAAAAAACAAATTTTTATATATACGGCATAGGTATATAATATTATATACAAAAAGGTTTAATAAAAACTTTATTTGTCTAAAAAGAAAAATGAATTTAATATGAAAAACGACACGTTTTTTGATTATATGGAAAGAGTATGAGACAAATTAGTTTTGAATTATATATTACTATATCTTCACCCATAAGAATAAAATAACGATAAAAATTGAGTGGAAAATAAGGATTTTGAATGCCGTATAACAAAAAATATATCTCTTTTTTGGATCACTAGGTTTTTGTGATACACTTCTACTCCAAACACTACAGTATCTGTACCTAAAACAGTACCGGAATATTGATTGCTTTTCATTTATTTTTTGTTTTACTCATTTAAATTGCTATAACATTATTTGAGCCGTTTTATTGAGGCTATACAACCGATGTATTTATTACTCGAAATTAATCATTTAATCAATAAATTAATGGCTTTTCGATCTCCGAGTCGTTTCTCACTGCCGGAGAAATTTATACCAATTTTTTTGAGTGTTTACTACAAATTTCTTTTGGTTGTATTTCTTAGCACTTATTTCGTATAATGTTTTTTAATTCTTCTTATTTTTTATGGCAATAAATTTTAAGGCAAATTATATTTTTCAAATGATTTATACTTTTAAAATTAATTGAAACTTGCGAGACACAAAAAAATCAGTAAATTTTCAGATCCATTAGATAAAAATTATTACTATTTTATTGTGAATGTTTCCCAAATGTATGGTTTATTTTTGATATGCATTTCTCAATGGAGAAGTGGTTTCTATATTTGGATTGTATTTAAAATGTGATTTCAAACACACAATACGGGGCATCACTTCTCATGTCTAATCAAAATAAAATTCCTTGCATTTGATTATATTATTGTTCATAAGTTATTAACATTGAATTCACTGCAAACAACTGTATGCAAATACAGTACATTTAATAAAATAAACAGTATGATTTAGAAATAGACTTAAACATATATTTAGAAAGCATAGTATTTATATAAATTTGCAAATATTTTACAACAAGGAATTCGTTGATTAGTTTTATATTGAGAAACATATCGCAAAACTAAATATTATGACAACATATTTAATGAAAATAATTATAAATAAACTATTAACTTTAGCGTAATTAAACTATTTTGAGAACTTTTTGATAAAACATTTTTTCAAACTAAATTACTTCCACATGACTTTACCGCTTATTAAACATATATTAATAATCGTTAAGTATAATATTAAATATGAATTTTGGAGAAATTTTAATTGAATTATAATTTAGTGGCGTTTAAATGATTAAATGGAAAATAATAACAACAATAATGAATGACTTACTTTTGAGGGCCCGGGGCTCTCCCTTCTGGCCTCTGTTTGCCAAACGCATCAATGAAAGGAAACATTTTTGGGAAACCAATTCATTCATTACGAAAATATATTCATGCATTTGAGGCATATATTTGTCCACTTCTTTGCGCATCTCATCCGACAATAGTTTCCATAAATAATTATAAACTCTTTCTGACGAAGAATTTTTCGGCAATTCTTCATCTGTCGGCCCTTTCAGTAGATTATCAACGAGTCCTCTGTTGACTTCATTCACCTCATAGTCTACTGTTTCATGAGTAGTGGTCTCTTCGTTGTCTTCTTGAGATTTATTCGTAAAAACCTTTTCTTCGACCACTGTTTTGGTAATAAATTCGACTTCAGATTCTGTGGTCCTTTCAGTGATATCTCCCTCCACTTCAATACCATCTGTGGTTTCAATAGAATTGGCCGCCGAAGAGACCGAAAGCAATACAATTGTCGGCAAAATAAAAATAAATTTTAATAAATTGTTAGCTTTCATTTTATTATTTTTGTTTGGATATAAGTTTTTTGGAAACACAAACAAAAAAATCCTGATAAAATGACTTTCTCCAAAAATGATGGTCTTTCGAAATAAAAAATAAAAACCACAAAACTTTAGCTGTGGATGTAATTTACGAAGATTTATAGCAAAACGCTAAGTATTTAGTTATTTGTTGCCTGAAAGACAAACAATAAGTCTATAACTAATAAATTTATTAAATATATATTATTTATATATTCTTTTGTTCCACTCTTGATATATAACTTAAATGTATAGTTCAAAGCAAATGAAGTCTTGAGTGCTTTCACTTTCCACTCAACTGTTTGTTTCGGTTATATATTAGTGAATAAATGGACATCAAATACAGGAGAAGCAGAAGTCTGACGAAGAATATTATTTGAGAGAGAATGTAGAGAAGCGATGAATGACTTCCCCCATGAATAAGCGCTTCCATACAACAGACAAAAAACAAGTTATATTCTCTCATCCATACGTTAGGCTCTATTGTAGTGATCCACTCGACTCCCTATGCCTTCACTTTTTGTGTCAAAGTGAAGGACATCAACATTATATGGCTTTACGTTTACTTAAGACTAGAAGTGTTTTCTCTGCGAAAGTACGAGTGAATGGAGTGAATGGAGTCGAAAGTCGCGAACTATAAGAATGACATTAGAAATGAATTGAGACGTCGGGAGACTAACTTTCATTAGACCATAACAT